GGTTTAGGGTTTAGGGTATAGGGTTTAGGGTTTAATGTTTCACCTTCTTCTCCATGCACTTCTCTGCTATTCGAAATCCTAAGCCCTATCATCCCAGAACCCGAAACCCTCATCCTCCAATGTAGCCACTATGTAACCCCATCAACCTCAAATGTGGAAACTCATAACCCCTGAACCGTAAAAACAAGAATTCCTCCCACAGTCTAAATCCTAAGCCTTGTATAGGACCGTATGGACTCCTAATCCCTAGTTTGGAGTACACCCCAGAAACCACGTATAGACGTTTTAGGTATAAGTTGTTATAATGCAAACCCAGGAACCAAAAAGAGGAATAAAGTGTAGTACTCCCATCTTGAGCCGTAAGCCCTAAACCCTAAAGTATGGATTCCTAATGTGTGCCCGGTTGCTGTCTATCGGAACTTTCTCACATCTGTTGGACACCATCCAGCCTTCCAGGCCCATAGCAAGAAGAGCCGGAGACTCCTTCCCCACCACCTACCCCAGGGGGGCGTAGGGCTTAGGATTTAGGGCTTCAGGTTTAGGGCTTAGGGCTTAGGGCTTAGGGTTTAGGGTTTAGGGCTTAGGGTTTAGGGCTTAGGGTTTAGGACTTAGGGTTTAAGGTTTGGGGGTAATATTATAGGGTAATATAGGGATATATATATATATATGGATAATGGAAAAGAAAATGGAAACTACTGTTTAGGGTTCAGGGTTTGGGCTTTAGGGTTGAGGGTGTCGGGGTAGGGATTAGGTTTTAGAGTTTAGGGTTTTGGTTCAAGGTTTAGGTTGGGTTGCAAACCCCACAAGCTTCTCAACGGCCAAAACGAAACATCTCCTGGGCTTCGGGTTTAGGGTTTAGCGCCCTGTGAACTTCCCCTAAGGGTCCGAGTACCTAATAATCATATACTTACTCCAAACCTGTACTAAAATTCCTATTACCCAAATCCCAAGTACCTAATTATTGGGTACATGGACCCTCTGGGTTCTGGGGTTAGCATTTAGGAACATGAAGACCCTGCTGTGGACGACTTTTTCAGGTGACTTACAGGAGTGGGGTTGCACCAGGGACCTCACCTAAGGGGTATACTGTTGATGGATGAAATCTTGCACCACCTAGCGGTCCTAAGCTACTTTAATTCCTAGGACTTTAGGGACCTAAGGTGGTGCAAGATTTCCTCCATCAACAGTATGAACGCACTATAGACGGCTATAGGAAGTTGTATACGCGGTGTATATGGTAGTTTCCCTAAACAGGGGGACCCCAGTATAAACCCCAAAGCACGATAATCCTTAATTCTGGTAACCCCAAAATGGTACCCCTTAGGAGGAGCCCCCACCCTGTAATAGTGACTTTAAGAGATAATAGGGACCATATTCGGGTCCTATTATATCCCTACAGGGAGGGGGGTCCTCCTAAGGTACCCCTAATTTTGGCAAATGTGAAGTGACCTGATGGGAGCTGCCCTCCGCTAGTTGCCCTAGGACCTTCATAGGCCCCCTAAACTCTACAACTAATCCCTACCCTGACACCCTCAACCCTAAAGCCTAAACCCTAAAGCCTAAACCTTACGCCCCAAACCTTGAAAAACAGTTTCCATTTTCTTTTCCATTCTCCATATATAACCCTACCAAACATAAACAAAACAGTAGATGGGCACGTGCCACTCAATGGCCTTCACAACCAACCCCCACAGGGTCCAAATATCCCCTTTCAATGATTATGCTTGGCTTCTCTTTCTTTGCCCACCTCCAAAGTACCCTCGAAAAGCTGCGGAAGCTTTTCCTGGGCTGTTCAGGGAGACAAAAGACTGTTTCCGCATTGCCGGGGCTTATACTCAGAGCCCACAAGGCAAAAAAAAAGCCAAGGACAAAAAACAAGACTGAACACCCTAAACCACATGCCCCAAACACGAGATGTAGCTCCTTAGGGTTTATGGGGTTCAGGGTTTCGGGGTTGGGGGTTTTTAGGGCGAAATCGAGCTTCTGACATGTGCTTGGGAAAGGCAAGCACGCGCTTCGTCAGCTCCAGGCTCTCATTACCATCCATGGCCATGAAACTCTCAGATAAGCTCCTCACTACCTGGGTCCAGGGTTTAGGGTTTAGGGGTTTAGGGTGTCCAGGTTGCGGAGTTGAGGGTTTAGGGCTAAGAGCTGCGGATTTAAGGTTCAGGGGACTCAGTAAGTCCATAGACCTGGGCTTGAAAGCCTAGTCATGACCCGCTTGCTGGCCTTACATCGCTTACATTAGTCTTAACATTATCATCCAGTTCTGAGTAAGTCCCATGAAACCTGCAGAAAACGTTCTTAGTTGATTTTCTCTCGTCGGGCTTAAGGCTTAGGGCCTTAATGGGAGAAGATGGAAGTCGTGAATCAGAGGTTGATAATTTAGGGATGCACATTGCCCTAAGGGTCCAAGGACCCACATCATAGAGTTTTAGGGCCCAAACACCATGAATATCATAGTATTTGGGCCCTAAAGCCCTATTATTTGGGTCATTGGACCCTTAACCCCTTAAACCTAAACCCTAAACCCTATATATCTCCCTATAACCCCTTTAAAGGGATCCTTTTATTTGGGTCCTTCAAACCCATAGGGTTGGTCATGGACTGAACCCCCTTTCCCCAAACCCAGCGAGCCCTGCCCCAGAGCCAAAGAGGCCTCCAAACGCCTCTCAGGCCTCCCATGAGCCTCAGGGTTCAAGGTTTACCCAAAGGCTCCATGTAGTTATATGGTGCATACTTGGGCAATGAAGTAATTATATCGAAACCACTTCGGGCACTAAGTACATACTATACAGCTACATGGAGCCTTTGGGTTAGGGCGTTTAGGGTTTACCTAGACCCTCAAAAGTATGTAGAATAATGGCCTTTTGGCTATATTAATGGGTTTTGGGCTATTATTCTACCTACTTTTGGGGTTCAGGTTGGGTCTAGAGCACCGAGTCAAAAGATTTCGGGGGTCCAGCCCGTGCAGTCCCGGTGCGGCGTTGGTGGAGCCGGCGGGGCCCCGGTACTCCAAGTCCTTCAATCCCTAAGGGTCCAAGGACCCAAATAGTAGGGTTTCAGGGCCCAAATACCATTAATGTTATAGTATTTGGGCCCTAGGACCCTTAACCCCTACACCCTAAAACCCTATTGTTTGGAGAGGCTTCCAACCAAGGCTACGCATTGGTAAGCTGGAGGCCTCGAGCCTGACCCAAGCCCAAAACCTATATTGGGTTTAGGGTTTAGGGCTGGGACAATGGAGAATCAAATGAACAAGAAAATGAAAACTGATATGGAAACAGGGTTTAACCTTGCACAAGTTAAAGTCAAAAAACGACAAGTTTCCCAAATCAAATCTTGGAAAGCACCCAAACCCCAACCTTCACTTCTTGCTCATGGCACCTTAGCACCCAGGCATGCCCTCCTATACCCACTGCAGTCATCATGTGCATGCATACGTCATCCCAGAGCCACACAACATACCAAAGGACAAGGACCAAGGTTTAGGGTTTAGATTTTAGGGTTTAGGGTTTAGGGTTTAGGGTTTAGAACGCAATCAAAAAGTCAAGGAAATCCTATAGCCCCCCTTAAGTAGATAGAATGTGGATTTGGGTATATTAGAATAAGATTCCCACATACCAGATACTCTATCTACCTAAGGGGGACTATAACCCCGAAGATGTCGAGGTAAGGGTGGATTGCCAACCCCCTAAACCCTAAACCCGAAACCCTAAACCCTACACCCTAAACCCACCAGGCGTGGGCTCATACCCTTCGGGGTGCGGGGTGCGCTTTTGGGCGCTCTCAGCACCAGCACACCCCTCGATGAGACACCCGACACCCTGAGCCCTAAATTCTACCTAGAAAAGCTAGTTACCCATAATAACGGCCTTCTTTAACCCAAAGTAATAGGAACTTAGGGCAAAGTTGCCTCTAATTATGTGTCACTGAGCTATAGTCTAAACTCCTAGTATCCCCCTTAATAACTCCTATAGTAGTCCCTATATAATCCCTTATATATAACCCACCTTTAAGAAGTTTAGACTATGGCTCAACTGG